ATTTTTATTTTTATAAGCGGCACTATTGATGAAATTTACGTTAATGTCATCCTTGTGATGTGCATTTCACAGTTCAATTTTGCGAGAAATATTTTATTTGCATATTTCAATGTATCTCATAACAATTTTCGTCAATTGATTAGTTAAACGAATGTAAATTATTCTCGTTGATTTGTATAAAATAAGTGAAAATTAGAAATCTGCTCGACCATCGTTGGTCGGATAAATTCGATTAAAATGCATAGAAGAATCAAGTTTCGAGAGCCGAGTTAATCAAACATGAAACTTAGCCACGTCTTGACATATTTATCGGGAAAAATATTGTTTTTTATTTATCCTTAATTAAGAAGAATCTTAATAATCATGACAAAAAAAATATCGTGAAAGTCAACATCTAAGTGCATTTGACTCTCGTATTTTCATAACTCGTAATTGTAACTGCGAGTAGGTTATTCTTAGAACAGTTTGAAATTGTTGCACTCTTCTGGCAGCAAAGCGCAGAGGATGATCCAAAGTTAAATATGTCAATAAATGTATAAGTAAATAGTTACAATATATAATATTATATTAGCATTGCTTCTGAAATATGTACATTGTTGAAAGCGCGAGTATGGCGTAAGTTACTCTTTCTCATTTGTATGCGACACTAGAATGTTTGATGCAATGTTTAACACGTATCTGTACTAACGAGTATATAACACTCATAATCGTATCCTGGATCTTATAATTATAGATTAATTACGTTATTATAAAAAAACAATTGCGTACACATAGATATATTGCTATATTATTTCCTTTTACCTCCTGGCAATTGTCCTCGTTTGAATTTTTTCTTAAGGAATTGTGCCTATAGTGTGTGTTACGAGAGAAATTCTAGAAGTAAAATTTCAAAAAAAGAAGCATCACACCTATGACAATTCATTATTCCCGTTAGTAGCACTTCCGGCAAGGTTTCGATTCTATTTTTGGGGAATGAGTCGTACACATGTAACTTATTTATGTAAGCTGGAATTTTACGTGAATAACGCGTGGGATTTTCTGCTCCCCTTTTTTACTTTCCTCCTGCAGGATTCCCGAGGTGCGTTACTCTCTCTTCCATTGGAAAGTCACTCGATGTTTCTTCGGTTGCGGTTGAGATGCCATATTTGTCTGAGCGCGTGTTCGCCGCGTGGCGCCACTTCACGACCGGCTGGACAGTCTGACCACAGAATAGTCTTACTACTTAGGCAGCTAATAAAGCTCCATCGCACATCCAAAATAATTGATTTCAATCGGATACTCTCAAATGCTCGAATATCCGATATAAAATATTCCAGTGGAAAAATAATTTGACAGTTTTCTATCGATTACTATCAACTATATCTGATATTGGTGTATTTTATAAGATAAACAATTTTGTTATAATACTTAATCTAATGCAAATTTTTAGTGACAATCTTTTATTTTAAAGTTATATTGTTGTACTGTTAGATAGTTGATTGTATCATGACGTTCAATTGCGAAAAATTATAGTGTTCTAGTCCATATTTGGCGACCTAATTTCATCATCATGTAAATGGCGATTTTAAATGGTGACGAAAGGAATGCATTGAGCAATTATTTTAAAAAAGTAACGGCTAATCGATACAGAACGTGTGTTTAGAATAGATTATAGCTTATTTAATTTACATTTATAAATGCAATCCTAAATGCATTCTAGAAGTGCGTTCTCCAAATTCTGCGTGATAAGAGTACTTAATGTTTTTTCGACAAATTTGTGCAAAGAATTTCGATACTTTGAATTTGTGCTGTGTATTGCATTCAGGAAATAATAAAAATATACCTATCAAATTATTAAGATATTATCAGTCTATATTTAAACTTTATGGAAAAAACGGCTACAGTTGCCATAATCAAAAGTCAGCCCCTAATACATGTTTTATAAGAACTATATAGTACGTTATAAGAACTATATAGTACACGGAGAGAAGGATTTCTTAAAATTTACCCTGAAAATATAGTAATTATGGTACACAATACAATAAATTTAAAGATTTTTACCATACACTTCAGTAAAATTAATCATACTTATTTTATATTTTATTGTAGTTTTATTAATGAATGTGAGAGATTTACATAAAAATTCTTCGAAATATAATGTTGTCCCACGATTACCATATTTTCAGGGTAAATTTTAAGATATAATTCTTTCCGTGTACGATTGTGATATAACCGTAAATTAACATATCTGAACGGTTATGGCTGTAAAGATACATATATCCATCTTATGGTTGTCACAACCAAATGTATTGACTGATGAAAAAATTATCATTATTTGCGGTTGTAACAACTGTAACATTTTTTTCTATGTTGGAATGTCGAAAAATAATTAAAGTTAAATATATATAACTGCAAGTTTTATTGAGATATTTAAGTTTAATTTAAAAGTTCTTGCTGTTTCCAATTAAGAGTCAATTAACTTACAAAGATTCTTACTGCGAATTACATATGTACGTAAAGTGAATAAATCTATATTGTTTCATATCCACGTGCAATTAAAAAGATACTCATAAGAAACACGAGGGGCTGATGATTAATTTTAATCAATTACTCACACTTGCTACGTTTCTCAAAATGCATTTGAAATCAAAACGCTGCCTTTGGAATTTTGGTCAAGGTAAAAGGAGAGTTTATTTTGGTTAGCAGCTCTTAGGATCAAACCAGTGAGCACGATAATTGCGAACGAAATCTACTGCGTATAACGATAATTAGCGATTAAAAAGATTGAAATAATTAATATGATGTTAAAGTGAGGTTTCCATAAGTAATTGCTACAGTTTCCTAAGTTTTTGTTGGCAGATTATCGTAGACTACAGATTACAACATGACTCGTAATGCATGCAAATATCGTAACGTATTATCTTTTTTATTCGTGGTTTTTACGAACGATGTGTCAAGCATATCTTTACGACAAGCAAAATAACGGAGACAAACGGCCCAGTTTAAAGAAACTATTTCTTACGTAAATTCCAATTTCGTATGTAAAATAAGTTAAAATGGCTTGAGAAAGTTTAAACGTAAATCATGCAGATTTAAAATCACTCAATATAACATTTGTGCATATAAATTCTCGTAGATATTTATACAACTGAATGAGTATTCTAATATCAAAGGTGATTTTTAGCTTTTTTGATGTGTGCAGCTATTATCTTAAACTATGTGTTACGGAATACACATTCTATTGAGTTACATAGCACCTGCTGTAGATACGTTGAATAATACTAAAAGTTATGTAGTTCCTATTACTTAATGCTACATCTTTCTTTCTTTTTTACTACTTTAAAAAAAAGATGAAATGAAAAATATCAATAATATTTTTCCTTGCTTTTACTGTTGCTTATGCACAAGCATGATACTTTTATATTGTAAGATTGGCTATTAAATTATTGATTATGGTACTATTGCCATAACAAAAGAAATGAACCCAATAGTGACTTTGAAACTGACTCATCAAATCTTATAATTCTGCACTGTAAAAGTATGTAAATAATAGTAACAAATAAGGATATATATAAGAATCGGTTAGAAATTATTTAAATTATATAAGTCAAGACATGAAATATTATTGTGATAAATAACATCAAATTTTTAACAAAAAATATAAAATATATGAGTATAAAACATTACATGTTTCGATCCGTGGTTTGGACCATCTTCAGATGGTAAAAATTACAATTATAATAAAACATTAATAAGTCAATCATGAGTCAATTTTAAAATAATAGAAGATCGATCCTTTCTCCGGATGATACAAGAGTTGCTTGCAAATGATTGTTAGAATGTTTGTTTGTTTGGTAGTCTAATAATGAATAGGTTTATGTCAAATAACAGTTATCTATAAATGTCGTTTGGGAATGGGTAACACTCACCATATCAATCAAAGAAAAATCTTCATCCATTTAACAATTTTGTCGTAAACAAATAACAATTCCTTGCACATTTAGATTGTAACGTAGAAATATGTAAACTGTAAAAAAATTATTTTAAATACGCGTATAGAAATGTAAATTAGAAAATTAAACAAAAATATTATGAAATATTATGAAATATTGCTTTTCACTTATTTTAAAATTACGTAAACAATGTATAAAAATTATACAACATGTAATGGAAATATATTATATAAAATTGTGCATTTTTACAAAAATTAGTACTTTTATCTCTGTATAAATATAAATATAATTGTATATTTTTAAATGGAAAATTAATAACATTGCTTATTTTATAGTAATGTAAAATTTATAATAATACAATATTCTGTAGTATCTTTATGTAAATGTACATCTTTTTGTAATATTACATAACACAATGGTAGATAACATCACACATTATATTTGCACGTTTACACATTCGTACATATTAATAATAACTTAAAAAAAAGCTGCATGTAATTTGTTGGCAAATTATTAGTTAATATTATTTAATACATATTTCTATACACACAATTTTAGTTGTATTTTTGTAAATTATTTAATTACACTTTAAAGGAGAATAGTTTTATTAGTAACTCTACTTACGTGTATAAATATACAGCTTCAACAATGAATCCAAAAATTACTCATTATATTTGTTGTAATTTTACATGATACATCTTTTATATTGTATATCGATGGTTGTATCTAGAAGCAACTATTTCGAATCGGACTTTGACCTTTGTCAGATACGAGTAGCGATAAATTGCGAACTTGCAACTGTGTAATTTAGCACTTCACAAGCTGAAGCGTTAGTCAAACGAGGATGACAGAAGGAGGAGGGTGTCTCATTGGCGAGCGCTGTAGATGATGTCGGCTGCTGAGCGGATTTCGCGAATAGAGTGAATTGGAGGGCGCCCCACCTGCGGGAGGCGAGGCTCACGGTGCACGATTCTCGATTCTCGAAGGGGCACACATGCTCGCCTTCGTTTCCCCTTCGGCTCCGTAAGACATCGGGACCTCCTTCACTGTGGTCCTCAAACGAGCCTCGCACTCCGCCAGGTACACAACTCACGCATTCGCTCGCTCGTACGCACTCACTGCACCGGCACTCGTAAGTCCACGTAATCCCTTCACGTACGTTCTGCTTTGACTGCCACGTGACTGATGCGCTCGCTAAGATCTCATTGATTTCCTATTCTATTTGACAAAGGAATCTGTTCTATTTCAACAAACTGGTATAAACACGTGTGTTGAGTACTGTTCTCTTTCTTCTACATTTTTACTCACATTTTTTCTCTCCTATTACGTACTTAAGCGATTATTTTACAAGCTGATCACTTATCAATTACATCGTGTTACTTGACCAATCATTTCATGCTTGTAATTTGACAGTCAGATTGAAAACTGCTTATTACTAACAAGCCAATTTCTTTGAAATTGCAGTATACTTGTGACCGACTATTTTACGTCTACAATATAATAGTCTATAACAGTCAACTAATTGACAGCTGTCAATGTTTATTATCAAACATTTTTGTACATAAACTTTCTTTCTCGTAATTTTTAAAAAATGTCATCTTTTTTTCTGGTATTGCAAAATAAACCTTTACTAGGAGTTGTTATATTTTGAGCGGATTTTCAATGTTTATTAAAGTGTAAATTTCAGTTTGCATTTACATAACACGATTTATCCGCATTTAATTTTCTTTATTTCATGAAAATGTTATCAGTATAATTAACTGATAAATAATTATGAAAATAATTTAGTTAAAAGTTAACTTTTAAATGTTTCCAAGCTCGCTCAGACACCCTTTCACTCGAACAGCCAAGATTTACTTTCGATTTTATTACGTATACTACCGGGAATCTTGCCGCCTTGTCAGACAGCTTTTTTTATTCATACAGACTAAATTGCAACCAATCGACCAAGTGAAGAAGACACAATGCGGATGTTATGTGCAATCTGTGGATTATTCCTGGCCATCACTATTGTCACTTGCAATCCTGTTGATAAGAAAGAAGCGGAAGAGGATCTCAATCCGCTGAACGAAGTAAGTTGTTTACGTTAGTTTTACTAGAAAAGAAGATTTTCAAAGGTTATATTAATTGGAATTTTTATTGAAAATGGACAAATCCAAATTTTCTGATTAAATCTATCATAATTCTAATTGAAATAATCTGATGTGATTAGAATCTTCTAGTTCATTCATTTTCAAGACTTGAAATTTTTCTCAGTGTCCCATTTTAAGTGCTGGAACGAATAAAATGTTACATATTAAGAGATTAAATGTGCTCTAATTTCTAGTATATGTATCAAGTCGTACATGTATCAAGAAAGATATCAGAAGGACGAATTGTACTTCAAATCTTATTTAGAAAGTAAGAGAATGAAATGGAAGGAGAGCTGCAATCGCGCACTTCGCTTTAATGAAGCGATTTGAATGCTGAAGTACTTGCAGAAAGCTATTGTCGATCTCTTATGTCGAGAGCGGAGTTTTACGATGCCACCGCGCTTCCTTACAGGTTCTTGAGAAGTCAAGACACGGAAGACGTAATTAAATTATCGATACGAGCGGCGTACTTTCCGAAATTAAACGGACGAGAATTCGACGATCTATATCGCGAGATGTTGCGTTTCCTTCCTCTCCTTTTTAAGCGTAACTCATCGATTAAATACGCTATACATACCTTCACTCGGTCTAGAATGAAACACATTACTAGAGAAACAAAAAGACAAGTTTAACTTTTAGTAACAAGAGTGAAAGTAAATCTTGCAAAAACTGTTTATTCGATAATTCGATTTTAACTGATTAAGAAATATGCAATCGATAGAAGTATCTGGGTCAGTACCAAATCTCAAAGCTTATATAAATATTTATTTTGTAGAATGATCCAGGGGAAAGTATACTTTTTATTTTATTCCACGCGGCTTTCTTTTCTGTTTAGTGGCAAGAAACTATCTTTAATTTTGTAGAAGAATATGGATATTATTATACATTCGCGTATTTAATTGATATTTATATTTATATATTATTTATATCTACATCTTAATATTTAGTCGAAAATTGGTTGAGTAAACATGAGCATCACAATAGAAAAATTCATTCAGCGTTGTGACAGAGTTGAGAAGAAGACTAAAAGAAGTCATCTCATAACATAACTGAACACATTACGTTAGCTAAATCGGTTGTAAACGATACAGAAACGAGAGAAAAAGAGAGAAAAGAGACAGAAAACAAGAGGTAAACGAAAAAGCGAGAAACATGATCTCGGAGAACGAGTCAAGAGTGAAAGTAGTCGGCGCTACTTGTATGAGTTTGAACACGCTAGAGACGGACGAACGCGTGTAATTCGAAATTCTTTAAAACGTGCCACGTGCATCGATCAACGAATAATGTTATACATCATCGTCGTTATCGCCATTCGTGATCACGCGTTAATGTAATCGTGATTCCGCTCGAGGATTACCCGTAACACAGATCGACCTCGAGTCTAGAACGAAAGCAGAATTGCATAATGGGGTTGCATGCACGTAGAAAATTACAATTTAGAAAACTACATTAATATTGCGCGAGGTGCGATTGTAATAAGTTTCCAATTTCTCTGTTAGACATTGTAGACACTCCGTGTAAATATTTATAAAACAAGTTATATCGATAGTATGTAATGAAATATTTGGCTAATAAATAAAAGCGCGGTGTAATTTTGATAAAGCCTAAAATGAAGGAAACTTCTTCCTGTATATAACGCGTTTCATCATCGTTTCTTTTCTCCCTTGATTAGGAATTTTAGCTTTCGTTACTTCATGCTATTTCTTTTAATTGATAATCTTAAAGTAGCTTATTTTTACGACCTGCATAGGTCTACGTAATCGAAGCTGATGATGTGGCCGATGAAGAAAGAGGCGATAGGGACAAGAGAAAGATTGGCGTTAAGCTTGGAGTATCGAACGGCATCATTAACTTTGTGTTTGACGTAAGAATAATTAATTAATTTTTTCTAAAGTCTTTACCATTCTTACATATACATATCAAAATATCTTGTAAAATTATTAACGCAGTAATTAGTAATTGAATATATAATTAAAATTGTATTTGAAATGTAACATATCTCCGCAGGATTGAAAAGTAACTTGAAAAATAATTATTTATTGTAACGTTTTTTGTTACCTTTTTCGCGATTATTACTTTTTTCTGTATGTAACAGTAACAAATTCAGCGTTACTTATATCGTTAATTTAATCTTTTATTATATTGTATTTATAACTATTTTATTCATCGTATTATTTTTAATTGACTAGAAATATTTCAAAAATATAAATTTAAATATTGAAAAATATTAAATGTAATATTTTACTTTAAAATTACAAAAAAAGTAATGAAAAAGTAAATTGTTACTCACTAAGTAACGGTAACGAAAACACATTATTTTTTAAAATTAGTAATGAGTAATGGTAATGAGATCCTTATAAAAAGTAACGATAATTGTAATGTGTTACTTTCATAAAATAATAAATTGTTATCATTAATTTCTTTAACAAGTATATATTTTTGTAGAAAGTGGATTCCTTCATAGATTCAAAAACGAAAGCGCTCGCAGTTCTCGATGAATCCAACAAAGAGAAAAACGCTGTTTTCGGAATTGACAACAAACATTCTGCTACGTCAGAGTTCCTCAACAAATTAGTGTCTCAAAAACTTCAGGCTGCAACTGGTAGCATTGGGCCCCTTATAAATAGCGCAACGACATTCTTCTCAGGTGCCTCGGCCGGCATCTCGAAGGCTCTGATCTCAAAAATCGCGCCATTAAGCTCGCTTTCTGGCGGTCTTTCCGGTGGTTCTGGTGGAACTGATGCAGGTACGTGCGTGAGATTGTGAAATATTTTCTAATTTATTTATTCGATTAGTTTTTAGACATCATATATATCTTTCATATGTATGAACCTAAAAAATTTCAAACCCAATAGAAAAATGATCCAATGATCATGTTTCTCGTGAGAAGAAATTAATTATAAGACATTTTGCGCAATTAATATTTCACTTTTATATACATCTTTTATGATAGCGTTTATTTTTATCTTTTTTTATATCATTTTTAATTGTTTTTTGTTTAAAAATGTAGGACATGCAGACGGTGGCGCAGGTGCTTCCGGATCGGCCATCCTTGGCAATCTCTTGACTCAAAAGATCGGTTCTTTGTCGAGCCTGAGTCAAGGTAGTGGCGGTTTAGGCAGTTTAAGTGGCGGTTTAAGTGGTGGTAGCAGTGGTAACGGTGGCAGCTCCGGAAGCGACTCTCATAGCGGAAGCAATGGCAGTCCGACCGCTGGCGCTGGGATCAATCTCGGAGCCTTCGCCAATCTGGCAGGGGTAGGGTCGCAATGAGTTAATTTTACTTTAAAATCTCTGTAGACTATTTCTTTTTTATACTTTGAAATTCCTTTATATGTCGCCTGTTCTATGTCTGATACGTAACGCAAGCTGTCTCTGCTGGAATATGTGTCTTCGCAAGAAAGCGGTATACATATATTACTTCGAAAATATGGATAACATGACGGTTTTTTTCTATAAATTGATCGGTGAACAGTTTTTACTTAACAAACTCGGACGAAGGTGATTGATGGCGACGTTGCATGTAAGGCCATCGCTATTTGTGAAACGATAATAATCAGTGCCATAAGCAAATAATAAGATCTTAAAGTAAATGCAAATGCTTTTTTAAAGTATTCATATTTTAATTAGCATCATATTATATAAGAATTCTTTACTATTTTTGTCAGTTTCTTTCTTTATATGTATATTTTTTTATTCATTTGCATTTTTGTATTTATTTATTTTTGCACTCTAGGTTTGCACTATTGCTCATTTTCTTTAAAAATACCTTAGTTATTAATTTTTTAGTTTATCAGAAAAATGTGATACATTTAATAAAATTGCTAATCCTGTGTGGTGAAGCTTCAGTTTTCTCAAATAACAATTTAATTTAATTGCGTTTAATAGACAAAAATAATTCAACGAGCGCTTAGTGATTTTTTATGACGATTCTACACTTAGTTCTAGCTAAGAATTAAATGTAAGAATCAATCACATATCATTAAATCACTAAGCGCTCAATAAGCTATTTTGTCTCCTGAATGCGGCTATTATAACATTAAAAAGCATGCTATTCCTATGTTCTATTATTGCTTCAATTCCTTTCTCTTCCTTGAAGTGCTATCATTATATACAAGCAATATAATCAAATATAATAAAGAACCTGCTTTGCCAGTCCCGTCGATACGCTTCATTAAACCTTTGGCTATACGACTAATCGATGTTGCCAAGATATATCCCTTTTAACCTTGGAAGGCGCCTTCATGAGAACGAAGCCTTCCGATAAATCATATTCGCCATTAAAACAAGTATTGTACACAAACAGTACGATTATACACCACCACAAGCGGCGTTTTAAGCGGCTTAAAGGCAGGTGGGATAACACGGGATGTGGAAAGGGAACGTTTGACTGCGAACTTTAACACCAGGACCAACGAGCAGCGTTGCATGAGAGGAGGAACCTCTTTGGAGAAAGAAAAGCGACAGACAACAAACGAACGTTAAACATATCACGAGAAAATGGGACGGACAGTCAATGGATTTGGAATATGTGGGCGATTTCACTTTCAATGGAATACATGGATATTCCATATAACACGGAATGTGAATTTCTGTTTTTAGCTGGGCTGATAATTGGCAGAACCTCCTTTCTCTCTTCAGAAGCCCTTCTCTTTCATAAAAAGAGTCCGTATTTAAAGAATCCAAATAAAAAATTAAGGAAAGAGAGTAAAACGAAATTCTCTAGGAAACTCTTCTCCTGATGAATCAACACTTCCGGCCGAATCGTGTGGACTGCGCTATGTCTAATATAAATTATAGAAGAACTAGCGGCGTCAATCGATTTGCCACCGTGAAAGTTGTAAATAATTTAAGAATAGCCTTTAAGGACGCGATAAACTCGTATTCGAAGACTATTAGCTATGTCTAAGCGATGTAAATAGTACATTCAAATGCTCCATGATACGTGAAGAAAGATATAAAAGATGGTGATGATGGTGTGATATAATGTTGATGACAAATAAATGTACAATTATATTTTTGTCTATTATATGACGATTTCAGAGTATCGTGTAATTCCCAATGTATCCCTTCCTTCATATCTTTATTATATTTTAGAATTTTTATTTTATTATCTTTATCATATATATGCACACATTCACTTTGATATCTCTTAATTTATGTTTTTTGTATGAATTAAATATTAATTTTGTAATTAAAATAACGAATTAGTTAAAAACCTTTTATTAGCGATATTTAAAGTATCACTCGCACTATAGAGTATCTTTCCATTAAAAAAATAGTTTTGTAAATGCAATATATAAATACCATAATTATAAAGAATTTTATTTTACTCTCTCTTATACCGGAATAAATATATTGAAATTATAAGTATAAGTGTAATAATATAAAACTATGAATTCAATAAGTATAAATATAATTAAAAAATTATATTTATATGAATTCAATAAATATATAAGAAATTATATCGTTAGCAATTCACGTTTATTTTTTCTTTATATTTATTGGAAATTGGAACTACAAATAAAAATCATTAAAAAAATAATTTCTTGTATAAGTAGAATTTATATATATTTTCACTCCTACATTTTCCTACGTGATACTCTATTATTTCTAATAAATGATAAGATATACAATAAAGCAAACAGAAAAATCGAAAAATTTGATTCTATGTATTTGCAGAATGGAATTACTACTACCGAGGATACACCCGTGTTTGATAGGAATAGGGTGTCTTTGGAAATACCATCAAGTGCATTCGGCACTGGCTTCACTTTAATAACTAATGTTAGCAAAATTCTCAACAGCGTAATTGTAGTAAGTACAATGCACATATATTACTATTAAAGCAACGTATACTATTAAAATATACAACGGTAATGATTGTTTTCCGTTAACGCGCGAGTTTAATTATATGATTCTTTTCCATTATTTTGATGCAACATTTTTCTAGTACAGTTTAATCGATTAGGTTTATGTTCAAATCACACTTTGTTTACTTCGTTAAATCTATATCTGTTACAAAAATCAAGAAGCAATTTATCTACTCTTAATAGACACGGAAATATCAATCTTCATATTTTTTTCTTTATCAATTTTTCTCAATCGATCTCCAGACCGTTATCTTTAATGATTATTTATATTTTTCAGAACTCAGCCCGTCGAACGCAGACATTGTTGGAAATATTTAAGCCGTTCTTTCGTGGTAGTTTTGCCATAAAGGGTCTACCATCGGATAACCATAAATAAAGAGTTGAATTAATTGCTCAATGATTCTCATTAGGAAATGTTCCACAATTTCCGGTCATGTTTCTTGGATATATATATATATATATATATATTTTGTTGATCGGAGTTTGTAAAGACTGTTCCAAAGTTTTGTTGATCATAGAACGTCTTAGATTATAGATTTAGATAGAATACCCCGATAGACAAATTGTGAAAATGTTGCACAATTATGGCATCAACTGACGATAAATTTTGCAATAAGTACGTTGATATAGCCATAATGCAGCAGTTTTGTCAGAATGAAATTTCTAAATAATACTTAACAAAAATTAAAGAAATTCAGTTTGAGGTGCAAAATATTTTATAATTCATTTTCTTTCAAAAATATAATGAATGAGACGGTAGCAGCATAATTGAAGAAGCAATTTAGGATACGTTATCTGATTATTTTTGAATGTTCAAAGAACACTTTTGAAAGATTGACATTTGTAAATATTCTCGTATATAATTGCAGATTACATACTTTATGTATGATTTCATCATATAATTCCATGAATGGCCTATCGGGGATAAGATCATAATATTTGCTTTGCTTATACTGTTATTAAATAACTGTTACTTATGACGCCATATTTTTGCCTCATACCTTATTCATTATTTTTGCACTTGTTATATATAGTATAGATACATGTATTTCCTTTATTATTTTTTAGAATGACTCGAAAATTGGCGTCGTAAGTCAGATATACGTTTTTGACAACTAAAAGCGTGTATCAAAAAAAGCAAATATTTATATAATTATGTACGTGTAAAAGCATGTGTAGATAATAATGTTACTTTAGGAACAATTTAGTCCAATTTTAATTAACTAGTGTGATATAAAATATGATAAAATAAAGAAGGAAGAAAGAGCATCAATCAAACACATCTAAAAAATTAATTTGAAGACACGGTAGTGTCTCGGTTTACTTTACCTTATTTAAACAACTATAAAAAGAATTTTTAATTATTTTTGTATATATATATAACTTAAAACTTTGTTTAAAACCTTTTTGTTATTAGCTTTATTTATTAATTTGTAACTTAATATTTTGCCATAGTACGTAATTCATATAAATAAAAAATATTGTTATGTAGACTTTTTATTTTATGATGATATGTTACCTGAAAGTTACCTGTTATTGTGCGATGAGATAACATCCCTGTTTATCAACACTAGTTTGTTACACAATAATCAGATTGTATAAACATATTTGCGCCAATAACGTGTATTACATGATGTTACTTAAGAATTTATTATCTAGATAAGAGCGCATATTATACAAGACCAAGTGGTCAGGGTGTCACATCTAGCTAGAACTCGACCATGTAACGTTTTGCCGTTCACATAATGAGGACACCTGAAGCAGATGTAACACTTTACAACACACGCATTTCTCGTATGTGTTAAGCAATGAACACACATAATATATATTATAAAAGAAATAAAAAATTTATTCCTTTAAATTATATATTATATATATCTATATATATGTCATGTTAATTGAAATATTATTTGTATTTTATTGTTGTGATGTATTAGAAAATTACTTATTAGGTACTCATTAATAAAATAGTAAATCAGCAGAAAACTCGTATGTAATAATCATTTAGCTTTAGATTTTTTATATATACATATTGTACTGTATGTGTCGACATCAAATTAGAAGCAAAAACATTTTACGTAATTCTAGGATCAGCGGCCTGTTGCATTATCCTTTTGACAAGAAAAATTAATGAGAGACGTATAGCATTATGCAAAAATAAACCTCACATGTAAAGTTCGAGGAAAAATTACGACATGCCGTGAGGAACATAAATAAAAATAGTCAAGGATTCTACAAGTAACGATAGTGTGACGCATTTAAATAATCAATGTAACGTAATTGACACGTGCTACACGAAAATCGTATGTAATTACATGTAAATAAAAATATGTGTGTCAAACTAATAAATACCAAACTAGTAAAAATAAAATTAATTACAAAAATCTGAAACTTCCGTAAAATTTATCCTAAGATTTCCATAAAATCTTTATTCCTTTTTGCATTTTCATATGTAAGTGCTTTTTTAATTAACACAAAAATAGCACATATAATTTTAGTAAAATTGAAATATAAAACAAATAAATATGAATAATTATATTTCATTAAAAAGTAACATCATTTTTTTAATCAATATCAATAAATGGCTCAAATTATTAAAATAAAAAATATATATTTCTAATAATTTTTAAATTTATATGAAACATTTTAAGCAAAATAATAATTAAATTATTACAATATTTAATTGTATAAATACGTAATTACGGTAATTATTTATAAAAATGGAAGCACTAAAAATGTGCGTATCATTTCTCGTATCGAAAAATCTTTGCGGCATTTTGTTTCGCAATAGCGGAACTGACGAAAAATTTTGTCAATTTGTTCTATTTACACGGAGAACATGTAAGAAGCATCGTAAGATATGCTGACGACCTTCGAGGCCGATACGAGATGTCGTGAGATGGAGAGAAATCATCTCTCGCTAGTGCTAGCTCTGCCGTCCTGCAAGATGCACTTGTTTTCACTTCATTTACTGTGCTTATATATACCAACGCGATAGATGACGCGAAAGAACAACGATACAATCATATACTAGAGTGATATAATTAAAATAATAATAGTACGAGAGAAATAATAATCTCTTAACAGAAATACTTGCTCAATAGAAAGGTAAGATAAATTTACTTATATATTATACACATATAAATACGCATGACATACATTATATGCACTCATTAGCGTTGTTATTAAATTGATAATTAATGTCATTTGTAGTATCTTTTCTACTTCAGTTTATGTGATTCAGACGTTTCAAGTCCGATAAATTGAATCGGCGCACAATACAGAACTTAAATTAAAGTAGTATATTTTAAATTTCACATAGAGAGGATAGATCGGAGCTATTCGATCAATTTCAATTTTAAAATAATACGAAAAATTACGGTAGCAAACAATATCTCTTTTCATTTACGTGCTTATAATTACATTATACAATCATGATTGCTTCTTGAAAGTATAATATTTAAATAATCAATATGCGTTGTTTACAAAAATAAATATATTATCAGGAAAAATTGATGGAAAAGCCACGCTTTAGCTCTTTCGTATAATTTATTAAACGTCAAGATCCGCTTTAATCGAATATACAATTATTTCTCTTATTCATATTATATGTTACTCAATTACCAGCTTATTTTTTTACTTATATTAATATATCCCAGCAAACACCAACTAACATTAACATAACTGTTATTTATAATTTGTGATTCATTAATATAACTGTAATAAAATATAACACACACACACACACACACACACATATGCTATATTATATTATATTGTTGAGCAGAAAGTTATAACTAACAGTTTCGTTAACGTAAGTTGGTATTCCCTAAGCTTATGTCTTCTTTTTGCATTAAATATTGAACATGTAATTTTTAAATCAGAATTCAAGATACAATTTTTTCGTAGGACAAATTATACTTTCTTAAGAAATTTTCTGAACTACAAAGTAATCGTTTCTAACAAAAATTATGTAACGGGAATTAATATTATACGACTTATAATTTATCAGAATTAGAATGTTGATAATTTTTGTGTTTCATTTTACATTTATTTTTAAGCAAATCGGATACGAGTCGTATTCGTAAAATAATGATGTTCAAATGAAAAAAATAAAATCAATGAAACAAATTGTCTAAATAATACTTATCATGCAATACATAAGTACTGCGCTTACGTACGAAACAGATTGCACGTTAAGTTTTTTTGTCTGGTTTTGTATTTCTATATAACACAGATATAGAAAACATGAGCAACCAGTTAACGATTAACTTTGTGAAGTTTGCATCTCTAAGGTTTGATCTTGATGAGAAGCAAAAACGTGAGTTTACTTTAAAAAAATTTAAAACATGATTTTTTTTAACGAAGACTCTATAAGTGATAACACATTCGACCAAATAGTAATATCATCAAATAATTTGCTCAAATAGCAGCATTACATCTAATGACTATGTCGCCGTAGATAGAAGAGAATAATTATTGTAATCATGCAACGTAACAATAATTTTGTTTAATCAACATCTTGTATTGTAAGCTTTTATAAGCTTAATCACATCGACGGAAACATTGTCAAGATAAATATAAAGATTCAGAATGAAAAATCTACAAATAAAAAATGATTTAACTTTCCTTCAAACTTATGAATAATATTATTTAAAATTGATTAAAGTTAATTCTAAAATGAATAAGATTCCTTGTAATCATTGTAGAAGAATAAGTATTTTTTAGACTACAATTATTAAATTTCAATTTTAAATTACGAATTAAAATTCTTTTTTCCTCTTTAGACGTAATCTCATTTAGTATCTTGTATTATGTAAAACATGTTTTAAAATCCTATTGTCTAATTATAATCTTCAATAAAATACAATTGTAAGCCATAGCTAATGAGCGTTCGGTCAAGGCCTCGTCTATGTAGAGAGGTCTTTACCACGTAGACGCAGCTAACATGCGACTGTGACTTACAATGTAGCAGTTTATCAAGATATATAACGGCATCTTCACACATCTCGCGTGCGCATAATCATTAGTTACAATTCTAGCTGCGATATTTATCTTCCGAGGTTATTTTCTTCCTATACGGTCAGTGACTTGTTACTCTCTTTACCTATCTAATTTTAAATCCATAATTTTACGTTGTTATTTTAAGTAATGCTCAAGATATAGCAAGGACGAAAAAGTGTTTTTACATTACAAATAATTATTTAATTGTTAAACACGTGACAAGAAAATAGAATTCAACAGCGAACAATTGCTTAGATCCAATGTTCACCTTGTCTTATTCCACGATAGACTAAAATTGCTCTAGAAAAGTAGATAATAAATAAGTAGAACGTGCGTAAGACAATAGATAAGTATTGACATACATATGATAGACATCGTAGGTAAGTACTGACATCTTATATAAGATAAGTGTATACAAAAAGAAGTGTATTTTACGTACGCGACAACGTAAAACTTTATGTCTATACTTATGTTTTCAAATTGAATTTTGTGTTACATTAAACAAATTCGTAGTAATAAGATGACGTAAGTGCTGATACTTAAATTACGTACTGTTTTCTTGCATAGAATATTATATTTTATTGACTGTCAAATGTAAGTAACATTATTTTATAACTTTTGCATAACTTTGTCTCTACACTACGCGAAAGAAAATTTTATACAAGAATCCATTATCATTACTAAATTTTTATATAATTTGGATAGCAAATAAACTTTTCAGCGAAAACATTTGTATCTTTTGTACGTATACCTTTCACAGCAACGTAACTAATGATAAGTGAACTTAATCAGAGCGTGTTACGAAAATTTGACATTCCAACGAAACCGGATTAAATATAAAATTGTTGTGATTGTAAGGCGTATGTTGTTTTTTATCAGCGTACTTTATTTCTTATCTTAATTTTTTAAAAATGTTTTAACTGATTTTAAAAAAATATTTTAACTAATTTGACAAATACATTCTTTTATTCTTCGAGATTGTTGACGTCAAATGTTAAAATCCAAATTATTTAATATATTTTGATAGTGAATACTTATAGAAGAAATTGTAAAAAAGTTTATTGTCATGACAGTGCACTGTTATGATCTTTAGCTAAACCCACACCATTACAAAAAAAAAATATACTGGCGCATATAACGGAACCGATCTCGATTACGTGTATGATTACGAAGAGTGAAAGTGAAAGATGGAAGTCGTTTCGCACTGTAGTCCACGTGGATCTGAACCTCAGGCAGATTTTCGAAGGCAAGGACGGTTAAGTACCGTGGTTGGTGATCTCCGGAAAGGATGCCGAGGCCAATAATCATTTATCGTGAAAATTAGTGTCCTAATATTGTGCAACTGTAATAAAAAAAGAAACGTATCTAATTTTATGGTTCCAACATGTGCTAAAAAGATATATGTTAATGAGAAAAAATCAAAATGATCGAATCAGTGTTAACAAAACATTCTATAACAATTTTAATTTTAATTACAAATTTTATAATAACTTTGCTATAGTTTTTTCATTGATGAAAGTGTTCATATATAAATAACTTTTGACTTATTTTTTGAAAGTAGAACTTTCACGAAGATAATAACAAGATTGTGTGTTTTGGTTAAATTTTATTTTAATATAAAAGTTCTTGTTTAATAAAATTTAATATTATAATTTACAGTTAGATATTATAATTTATAATATCGGTAACAAATTAAGATTATTGATTGTGGAATATCATTAGTTTTAATGAACTTTAGTATCTTGGTGCTTCTTTGGATAAAAATCATGTTCTTTAGCTTTTATACGTTGATTCTTTATTTGAAGAATGGAATGCAAAAAAGCATGAAATTTGCATGTAAAAATAGCGCGGAGTTCATTAAAACTCAATTGTGCCTAGTAAGGTGTCCATTCGAGTACGATTCAAGTGCTCCACTTAAATCGTTTCACGTATGCCCGCATTTTCGCAATCGATAGAAATCTTCGTGCGATATATTATATACTTCATGGAAGTAGAAAGTCTTACGACTTTACGTGGGCTTGTGCATGGCATGTGCAGTTCAGACTACAGTGTGATCGCTTCAGAAATCACCGCGACGTAATCAGTCACTAAAAGTCTTGACTAATATTATTCAATAATCACGTTACTCTAACATTAAACATTATGTAACTACATGACTCGCAAGAAATTGTTTTACGAGTGAATCCAAATATTAGATATTTAAGATAATTAAGTAGCTATAATATATTGCAAATATTTTATACATTTAACAATTTTTTGCTAACAAAGTATCGATCATCTATAATTCCATAAAGTGAAACGCAGCTCAAATTTTTGACAGCATTGAAACATCAGTTATTTATTAGGCTCTATTATTTCGCAACATAAAGTTTACCATTAATTCAGACGTTATACGTTCGTGTCACGTACTGTGAAGAGGTCGAAATGGATTATCGAAACCTTCGAATGACCGGCAGCACATCGCCGACATTGGCCGGTAGTCAGGCTCGATCAGCGACGTGGGCCATCGACCAGCAACAGTCATACATACACTGTAATCGTCATGTTAGGTCGAAGGGAAACAATTTTCCGAACGATCGTGCGTGAAGAAACGATAGAAACTGCTGTTTTGTTACCGCAAACCATGAGTGACGCATAAACTTCCCAGCGGAAAAGATTTCGGAATCAAGACTCTCTTGCGTAAAAATTTGAAATTAATACCGCTTCGAGATACATTATAAAACAGTGTGCTTATAAGTGTTGAAGAAGGTAGCACGCTAAGTGATTGAATAATCTTTGAAGAAATGTATGTGCGTTTAAAGAGAAGAAGTTTAGAACATGTGTCTGGATTTAAAAGCTAATGCTGTCAATGTAAGTCAACAAATATAAACTTATTGCTTGAAGGCATAGATTATTTTAATTTAATAAGTTATTTATTAAATGTAAAAATCAAATAAAATCCGTATTTACAAATAAAAAAAATTAAGTTTTTTAAAACCGAATTATATATACTCAGGTTTGCCTTTCCTGAAAATATTACAAGTTATATAATTGATTTACTAAGTAATGGATTGTGATGCGTACGAGTGTGTTGTTCCTCAAACTGTAATCGACAATTTTCCTGTTGCGGTTTTACTTTGGCAAATACTTTCCTTATTTCACTAAATGATGACAGTTGACTTACATAATGACTGCTGAATCTTTTTCGTGCAGTCATCGTTCAACTCTCACTGATATTTCTTCGATCCTATGAAATGTAATTTTATACGAACTCTGTTATTTTCATACGTAATATACATAATACTAACATATGGAATATCTTATTTTTATTATAATGTATTAAAATTCAAAACATGTTTATATTTTTTCAATAATTCAAGAATTATATATTATTAAATGTCATTGAATAATATAGCTATCATCTATTTTTATATAAAAACATTTTAATAAATTTCTATATATTTTTTTAAAGATTTCTTTTTACAAATTTAAATATATCTTAGCTCTTTTATTAAAAATTCTTTTTCATTAATTTTCTTTGACACATATTGTTAATCCTACGAATATTTTTTTGCAGATGTATATGTCATCAATCAATTTCCTTGCAGTCAACTGGTTGCTTCTCTGCTTAATCAATCCATTTTGTAGCAGAGCCGAAAAATCAGACTGGATTCCTTATGAGATCAACGATTCTGCGCATTACGAATTTCGATCGATACAGCCAGAACCAGTTTCTTTGGAAGAAGAGTTTCGACCTAATGTTCTAAAACGTCCACAATACAACATTTATCATTCTAAGCATAATTCGATGCAACCTGGGATACTTTTAAAGAATCGCTATTCTGAAGACAATGTGAAAAAAAATATTGCAAGATTTATGCCAGAATATGAATTAGGAGAAGTCTACACACCGTACCATTATTCTCAATTTGTTAGGAATCAAGAAATTCCTAAAAAAGGAAGTGCTGCACGATTGGAGCAGGAAGAGACTCAAGAAATTGACAAGGAAGTAATAAAGAAAATGAACTTACTAGATAAAGTATTATCTGAAGATCCCGACAAGAATGACATCGAGATGAAGAATACTATTGAAGATGAAATTATTACGGAAATGAACATCCCCGAAGAGACAAAAAGGGTTGTCAGGCAAGTTCGTAAGTATCGACCGGGATTCTTTTGGACCTTGGCGAGGCTTGCTTTCGAGGTACGTATTTTAATACGTTTTGATAGTAATGCTTCTCAAACGTTACACAAAAATTTAAAAAAAAGTTATAGAATACAAATTAGTAATATTAATATTTTACCAATTTAGCTTCTTTTTAAAAAAAAGTTTTTTTTATGTAAAAAAATATATAACATTTTATATATAAGAAAGTTTTTTAGTATTTTATACATATACATATATATATAGGTATATATATTTACATATAATATGAGAGAAGAGAGAAGAGAGTATTATTACTTTTATTATACATATATATATATACATAATACATTTGTCATATTTTATTACGTAAAATTCTATGAGCGTATTAATTACAAAATTTAATTATAGATATAATTAATATCTGTCAAAATGGTAGAAATATTTCCCAAATACAGGCAATATATTTTTAACAAATGTTGATTAATCTCTTCAGACTTGATTTTATTAAAACTATGTTAAAAACTTTTTTAATTTAATGCGCTCTTTGATAAGTAATTCATTAAAAAAAAAAAATGATTTCTCTTAATTTGGTCAGTTTCCCAACATAAACATCAAATCTCAGATGATGTAAATAAAATTAAATAATTTAAATATAAAATACTATTATATATATCAAATCTCATACGATGTAAATAAAATTAAATAAACAATATGCAATACTAAAGACTGTTAATGTAAAAACATAACTACCTAACAATCGTCGGTCTTGAAACGCAAAAATTAAATAATTTTAAGGGAGATAATACCTCTTTAAATTTAATGTATAAATTATAACATAAGTGAGATGTCAAGCGATTAATTCGATTTTTTCTTATTGATAATATTGATAATATTGGAAACATATTTTGTTTTCCATCAAGCTTTAAGCTGAAAGAGAAAGTGGAAGTTTCTCTCCGACCGATTGATGGTATTTCATTTCAGACGTTCAATGATACGCGATCGGCGGTTAAACAAATAAGTAATATTATTAATCAAAATATTGAAACGGATCCAACTACACGACGACCATCAAGAGTCAACAGTCATCATTCATTGATAGATGCCAATACAACGACAGTTGCACCGACGAATGAAGAGACTAATACATCTAGCAACATGATAGGCGTTAACGCAACGACAACAACAACCTCGACCACACAAGCACCTTTCAGACTCACGCCAACCAATCTACAAAATTTGATCAAAAGAAATTTGCGTGGTTTAGTAAGACTCTTCAATATTGAATGGCAGGATGCTCTAAATGTGAGTTTTTACTGTATTCTCTTTTTTTTGCTTTTTTCTTTAAATACATCTTCTATATATTGAATTGTTTAATAATTGTTTAATAATTGTATTATAATCTTACAATAAATTGTTCAATTTTTCAGCAATCAGACATAACGGTAAAGGAGTTTCAAAAGAATCTTGGGAATCAAGTAGGCAGTTTTCTACAAGACAATCCAAATGCTTTTTAAAAGCAACAAAAATAACTTGAAAAATACTCAAAGAAAAATTAAATAGATAAATTAAAATTCAAGATTAAAAAGTTCGAATCGTATACAATATAGTGATTCATTTATAACAAGCTAATTCTAATTTAGCTAAAGACTTTTGTCTGAAAATGTCTAATAATGATATATATATTTTTAATATATATATTTTTATACTTTGTTAAATATTTTATACAATAGCTCAATTTTTAAATATAAAAAAATTAAGCAAAGATAGTAATATCTCCTTTTATTAAAATTTATACATTCCACAGTTTATTATAAATTTTTATAAATTATTTATTAGATATAATACGTAGATAAGATATACAATTAATATTTCTATATTTCTTTATTACATCATCGTTCAAATTAAGTGAATCCTCCATGAATGTGCCAAAATAATAATAAATAATGACAGAATAATAATAAATAATAATTCCTAATACTTTTGGCTCGGCTATTTAAAAAAATTTTTCAAAGTAATCTATTCGTCAAATTACAACTTTGAGTAGCCGAAATTATACTCCAGCTCTATGGGATTTCATCATAGGTTGATGTTCGTTTTATATCTCTGACTTACACAATCATTTTTGGCACTCAACCCACGCCTAAATTTCGTAAGTGTAAGATAAAAAAAGGAGCGGATAATTTATTCGAATGATTGGTCAGTGTGAAAGAGAATCCAGAGATCGTGACTGGTATAACGTGAATGCAGTAAGTAGAAAGCACCTTCTTCGAAGAAACTAATGTGAATCTGCAAATCCTTAAGCCGGATTGGTCGATGATTCGGGTGGGATCCAGCGGCAACCCTTATAGATCGACGAAACAGATCCATGATTCAATCGTACTTGTGTCGACTTGAGTTGAAACTCGTAGAAGCCAGCCTTGCACGCAATCTACTTGGAAAAGATGTTATGGTGCTACAGCTTTCTGACCTTTCTTCTCCTACTAGGCGACACGTATGGCGTAAGTTGTTTTAATAGAAAATACTAAAATAAGGAAAAATAAAATTAACATGCGAAAGATTTTAAATTTCAATTATGCAGCTTGAAAAATTTGAGATGACAAGCTTAATTATATCTTTTTTATATCTGTTTGAATCTAAATTTCACAAATATCATTTTAATTCTCCGTGTAATAATGCTTTAATAATAATTAAAATGCTATTATTTTTATCATCTCAAGAATTATATATGTACTGTTCCGTCTTTTTCTAATATTATTATATCAATTTATAAATTTTTAATAACTTTTTGTACAAAGAAAGGAAATAACGTTTTTAAAAGTATTTTGGGATGCCGAAAAATTCCATCTGACCGAACATTTAAAATGTATTCTGTTTCAAGATATAACATCTTTTTCTAAATAATTTTGGTTCGACAAGTAGATGAGCTAGGCAAACGTTTTTATTAAGATCTAATATCGAGTTGATATAACTGAGAAATGTGATATAAATAGAATTAGGACAAAAACATGATGCTAAGTGACTACTGCTGGATTCTAATACGTGAAACCGGTCTATAGTTACCTAAAAAATAAAAATTAAACACTCAGCACTTTTAATTTATTTTTTAATTTTAATAAAACTGCATTATATATATGAAAAAAATGTCTTTTTTTATATAATTTCAAAAACCACACCTAATGGAAATACTTTAATGACAGATGTTTTGATGTCTCAGTACAAAATTACCCCAAAAGCAATCTTCATATTGCGCTCTTGCACAAAACTTATAGACTAATGCTATTATAGCTATTTTACTGTTATTTTACTTATTTTCAAAATTAAAAAGTTAATCTCACATACAAGCCTTTACAAAAAGGTTTCTCGTATTTTAATAGGTTATTATAAAATTATCTCACTTTTAAGACTGAGGAAGATCGCAGTAGCGTCAATAACCTTTCCAATAATTGATGAAGATTATTTAACATTTTTAATTTGTAAAAAGTGAAAGCTGCGATAAATATTGCGGACCCGCATTAGTACGTATAACGATCTACGTAGTAGACCTATGTATATATACACTCTGATGACAGGTTTAAGCGTAGGTCGTACTTATCATATACATAATATCTCATGAAAGAAAATTTCTATGCAGTCTGATACATAGTTTTTACTTATCACTTTATAGGCAGAAACACGAGGAATAACTTACATTAGAAGTATTTTTAAGAACGATTGACGTATTTCAGGGCATGTCGAAGAGCAGAGTGCGACGTCAAGATTCATCCGCACAAAATGGTCAGTTGATAGACAGCATCTTCAACGTAAGTATTATAGCAAAGCTTTTTTATTAAATAAATATGTATCAGTTAATCAATTAATTAATTATTAAACAAATGGAGAAACATTAAATATTAAAATATACAATCTTGATAAAAAAAAAAACTTAAAAAAAAACTTTAAAAATAAAGAAAAAATATTTCTTGTTAATCAATTAATTTTGTTTTAGAAATTATAAAATTTTTAATTTACAGATTCCGATCACAGCGATTAGACAAACCGCTTCCGCTGTCCAAATTGTTTCGCCAGGGAACACGCAGAGAATTGACAGTATTGTTAAGGTGATATATATGTAAAAATTCCTTGCATTTATATATTTAAAGTGTGTTTACTTATTTACTATAATGAACAAAATTATTTACAGATCCCCGTCTCAACTTTACAAGCTGTCGGCACACTTGTCAAAACTACAAGGGAGCAAAGCCAACAAATTTCGGAAAATATTCAAGCTCGTCAAGAGAGGAGAGAACGGATATTAGCTATAAAGGAACAAAAGAGGAAGTTCAAAGAAAGAAAAGAGGAAATTCAAAATCAGCGATTGTTGCAGCGGCAATTGAAGAGAACTGTTAGACATCACAAGGATCCATTTGGATTAAACGCATTGAGTGATCTTTTGATTGGACATCGCGCTGGTGGACTTTTAGGGCACCAGTCTGGATTGGGTGGTATTCACAGGCTTCGTAGAGGTCATAAAATTGGTAACGGTTTTCACAAACACGGAATTCATCATGGTATTCATGGTAAGTAATGTAAGTATTCGAGAGGGATTTGTTAATGTACTACATCGTTAATTGGCTAATTTGAAATAAAATATTCTTATTGGTAAAGCAATAAAAAATTACTAGGCACCGGTTTATGTGAGTGGATATGTGCTAACGGGACTCTTTCAAGTATTTTCGCTGTTTTCTTCTTCTTGTTCTTCCTCTTACATTAGATGTCTGGCCTGTTACATCTCTCTCATATCTTTTCAGACTTGTACTGCACAAATGCTGAGAAAAAATATAGGAAGAACTGTAATATAGCATATATATAAAAACAAGCATTCTCTGTTGAGGGATGATACATTAATTGTATCAGATAAAATATCGTATTTATCAGATACAATCGATTTGTCAGTCAAATCAGACTCGAATAAGTGTAATGTAAATTTACTTAAAAAATGTAAATTATTATTTATTAATGAATATCTGAATAATGAATACGATATGTTAAAGAACAATTAAGTTTCATACTATTCGGAACTAATGTCAGCGAAAATATTATTTCTTGCTTTTTCTCTTATGTTAGGTCTCAGGCCTATGATACATTTCTCTCATATGCTTGTGGTGCGCATGCTGCATGCTGATTATTTAATTGCTACAAGCATATGGGACTTACAGTTTTAATGCATTATTTTTTAAGCTATTGTGTATAATTAGTGTACTCTTTTTCATGTTACCTATTTACATAGATAATGTAGCTATATAGATAATATATAATAAATAATAAATAGAATAAAAATAGATAATATGCATAATAATATTATATATAAAATATATAAACTATTTAAAAATTATAAATATTTATTTAAATATTTAAATTATTTAAAAATTAGATACAAATCTGACAATAATTTTATTAGACTATCAAATAATTAGAACCCTTAAGCTGGTTGCTAAAGAATGTCAAAAATTTTTGCAAAATTATTATCTGTTTGTCTCTTACATAATTATTTTGATGATCCAACAAAGATATTTTTATATGTATAGCTAATTAAATTTTTTACTTCGGTAAAAATCTCTTTTTTTAGTAGATGTAAGTGTTAGGAGCATTATTATTATAAATATATAGATACAAACATATTGTTTGTTAAAGGTGGACACCTGGGAAATCGTCCGCAGCATACCTACGAGGTACATGAGGATGTTAACGAAGATACATCTTTCTCTTGGCCAGGTTTGACCACAGGGTTTGGCACTTTTACTGGAATCCGACCTTTCAGTACTACTATCAAAATCGAAAACAAAGTTGCTCCTAAAGAGAAGATTAAAAATAAACTGACGCACAACTATGACGATCCGTTGGAAAATAAAATTGCTCCTAGAAATGGAAAAGTATCATTTATGCAATAATGATGTAAATACAAGTACATAATAATGAAAAAGTATGATAACTTATTCTTATAATTAATTACGAATATTTCCTAATTTTATATATATATATAAATTCTCATTATAAGAATTTTTTAAACAATGAATCTTACTAAATCTATTATATAAATTAACATAGGAAATGATTTAGATAGTTAAAATAATAATATATATGATGCTCAATACATTTTGCAAATACAAATAATTATCTTTACAACTTAAAATATTACGATGTATTTAGATATTATAACTGTAAAAGTTTTTACTTTCAACTTTAGAGTTTTTATATTTTATTATTATTGTTTTATTTAAGTTAATAAATTGTCAAATATATTTATATTAATTTTCTGTAGGATTTAGGTTTTAAGATAATATTTAGTGTGCCCACTGATAAAAAAGATCTATTTTTATCAGTAGACACACATTTATTTTTTGAAGTAAAGATATAAGAATTGACATACACAATGAGAAGCAGATTTTTAAAAAGCATTTACTCTACAATTTCAGTTTTTGAGTTAAAATTAATTGTCACAGTATTCAGTATTGAGAGACTTATATTTTAAAGTATTCTGTAATATGCGATGTTCTTTGAAAGCATTTCTACATCATTCATTTATGTCTTAAAAAAATCTTGATATTTGGAATGCATTATGTCCTATAATTAGAGAGAGAAAGAGAGACACACAAAGTGTATTTGTTTAACATTTATAATAACTGTTTAGCAATTTTGTTGAACATTTCACATTTTATTGATTGTAATTTTTTGTAAGGTGCGCAGTTTTCCTGTGGCTTTCTTTTTCGTTTTCTGAAAATTATAAATTTTGGACAAAACGAATTTTGAAAGTCTGTTTCTCATATATTATACAATATAAATGACTCGTACAATATAAATTATTTGAAGGATTTCGAATTTACTTTATTAAAATAACGCGTTACCATTACTATTACTTATTAGATAATAATGATTTATTATTGTTTTGTAATATTATATAATAAGATATTAAATTTTTTAGTAATCAAAAAGAGTAATCAAATCATTTAATAATCAATATTAACTCTAAACTAGTATCCATATGACAACTTTTCTTCATGGATGCATTCCATATTGTGTTTACACCGCTTATAAGCATAATTTTTTCTTGTTTAAGATTTGATAAAGAATATCTCTGAACTGATATTTACAGTATGTGAGCGTGAAAACGGGACGCATTCTATATTAACACTTAAAAGTATTTTTCTCATTCTTTTCTTATAAACACCAACATACAGTAATTTTTTAAAACGTGATATACAAGGAGTTTTTGAAATTGTTTATTACGAATATAAAAATTAGAAAGAAGTTAAAAAATTTTTTTAATTCTCTCGAAACGACAAAAAGTCGACATAATACAAAGTACAGTAAAAAAAATTAAAAAATACAAAAATTAATTCCATTACTTAAAACCACATATCGAAGGTCCAACACAAATCGTAATTTTAAAACCATATATCAAGTCTTTTTAAGATCGTTGATGACTAATCTAAAATAAAACAAAAATAAAAAGTAACAAATCTGATCTAATATATGCCAAAAAGTTCACTGATTTGTAAAATAAAAGCAACAGTTCATGATTTTGAATTTGACAATTTTTGACTTCAGATTTAGATCGGTAATCCGAAAAACGAGTATCAACTTCCATGTAAATCGATCCATTTCTTGCAATATTGGTTCGCTAATGACCGAACATTGTACGAGTGGTAGAAATTTGGAGGGGAGGGCCTATGAGGGTTTTTCCGGTGGTTTCTTTTGCCGCGAACACAGAACACACATTTGCTATTTCTGAATAATACATTCCTATACAACATAAACACAACTTCTATTATACCTTAATATATAAGATCTATGGAACAATAGCCCAAGTCGATCTTTTTCCATAGATTATATCATTTTCGATTATCATAGAATAATCGAAATGAGTTCATATTTTACTAATGTAAGCAACAATTCTTTGTTTATTTGCACTAATTAAAGGGCCTAAGTAGAATTATGCCTTTATTCCGCCCAACTCAATTGTTGTGAATATTGTAATCTTTACTTCAGATTCAAATTGAATATAATTCAAAATACATTTACCACTAAGTATAAAGTTGCAAATGATTGGAATGGAGAAAACGTTTTTATAATTATAAAAAGTGGGACAAAATATAATATACTGTGCTTCAAAGGGTTAAACTAATATAATAAATTTTCTAATTCTTTACATCAATATTTTTATTTTTTAACGTACTTATCTTTAAGAATTTAAATTAAAATTTGCAAACACAAATTTTATCAAAAATTTTTATTAATCATTGTTTTTAAATATTAATATCATTATTAACAGTACATTTTAATATTCACTATATAAATACTAAGAATCTACATATATATAAAATATCTTTCAATTTAAATTTCTATTTAAATAGAATATTTTTCTATCAAACAGAAAAAAAAGTAACACTATCTATTAAACAGTTATAAATATAAGGAACTAACTGAATCTGTTACCGTTATTGTAAAAATATAATAACATTATTGTTATCGTTAAAAAGATATGCACAGAAAAAGATAATAATTGTTACTATAATAAAATTTTAGCAACAAGAACGGCGTCACAAATAACGCGTTAATTCCCAATTCTATAAATAATTATAAATAATTTTTATTTCTAAATAATTATATGATCCATGATTCATATGTAATATCACAAATGCGTGAAACTTATCTTGTTTTACAATCAGATGACAGTTTTCATATAAATGCAGCAAGAATAAGCAAAAAACGCCATTATGATTCTATTATATGATACTAATCTCGATTGCAAGAATTTCTTCGAGAGTTTATGAGTTAAAAGCAAATAAACTTGATGTGTACATAACTTAATATATTCAGAATACATAGGCACTAATGCAATCACAAATTTAATTTTATTTACTGTCGCAACAAAACAATGTCTCATTAGAAATCCTAATTGATATAAGCACGACGTAGTATGAAATATACATATACGCAGCATGTAAAATCAATCGTTGACCTTCGAGCACTCACTTTACTTTTTTGCATCGTAATGCAAGACTTGTATGATCAAACGTGTTCACGAACATCGTGGATTAAGGACATGTATAGTTTATTTTACATTTATATGATTCTTTGTCTTTTCAAAGCACATAGCATATAAATTTCATAATTTTAAAAATATAGCACTTAAATATATTTTAATTATTACAATAATGGTATAATGTTAAATATGATATACAAACATACATTTAACAATAACATTAATTTTATATATACCCACAAAATAGGTATATATAAAATTAATGTTATTGTTAAATGCAATTGTAGCACTTTTATGTTTTAAATATTCATTTTATACACAAATTGTATTATACAATATATATAATAAATATTTAATAATTATAAAAATTATTAAACAATATTTTAAAAATAATTAAAGGTTTTAATTAACGACTCAAATTCACTCAAATATCACTCAAATAACTGATACTTAAACATTTAAAAATCAATGCATATCATTATAAAATACTATAAAGACATTTATGTTTTGACCATTACAAACATTATGATATTTTAATCATAGATTAAAATTAAATTGTAATTGCAAATCCTTGTAATCAAGAATTCTATTCAACAAAGTTTTACGTTAAATTGATTAGAACTTTATTTCTGCTATTTTATGACAGAGAGAGTAGGATAAAGTTGTAATATATTTATAGAAATTTAAAATTAAATAACAGTTTTTATTTTAATACGATTTATATATATAATTAATTATTCGCTCAAATTCTGAGTCGTAATAGCAATTCTAAGTTTTCGATCATCATACATATATCTGCAAACAAAGATAAATGTACATTTTTTAAATATAAAAACAAAACATATTAACAAACTATATTCCTTTTTTATAAATTGCATTTTAACTTAAAATATAACAATGTGATACAAAAGGCTAATAAGAGTCAAACAACAATAAAAGAACTTCTATAATTAAGTTAGCATAAGTGTATTATAAATATAAATATAAAAAACTACAGAAAATAAGAAATACATATCAGTAATTTTTTTAACTATTTTTGCATTTTAACATAAAATCCTTTATTCTAGATACACTTCAACTTTTGTCTAAATAAGTTTTTCTTCCAAAGCATTTGTTATTTACCTTTACAAAAAGAGCTCATTCAATTATTTATCTTAAACAATTATATTAAGTTAGTCATCTAAACGTTTGTACGGAATAAATTATTTTTGAACTCTGTACCATTTTTTATATTACACTACATGTGAATTCGCAGTTCACCGAACGAATACGGATCTCATCGAGCTTATCCCTTCCAGTGGCAAATGACTAAGAAATATCCTCCGGAGAGACTGAGAAATCACTGTCTACCTGCATACGGTTTCAATCTTCTGTCAGTAAACCTGAAGATGTCGTTTGGTGTGGTAGCTAACTGCCTACTTATCATTTTTGTAGCTCTAGTTAATGGAATGCCACAGAGAGATGATACAGCAAAGGAAAAATCTGACTCAGTGAGTAGAACATTTTTTGCTATGTTATATCATTATCTTTCACATTGTCCTATTTTATTGATACATGAAAGTTAGATACTTAAGTTCATTTAAAAAAAGTAATTTGTAACTTATATCATTTATATTAATAATATTACCAATACAAATATTACTATTAGAATAGAGCGTATTATTCATCTTTAGAATAAAAAATTCTAAATTAAGTTTATATCTTATACTAAAGTGTGAAGTAAAATCAACTTTGTGTGAAAATGAAGTAGTACATGAAGATCAAGATGAGATCTAATGTTCACAATGATTGATTATGAGAGAGAGAGAGAGATATATATATAGGTATTTGAAAAATTGTACGTATTAAGAAAATGTTAGACCTATTTAGAGAATGGAATGAGAAAGGTATTATTACGCCGCTTCTAGCTACAGATGATGAAATAAGAAATTGAATGTGAGCGTATATTCTCTGCATCCCAGCCAGTCAATTACGTAAAATATGCATGCGCTACTACGATATAAAACATCACATTTAAAAAATGACAAACAATGACGCACAACTCAATCTTCCATTAATATAAGTGTTTTTATGTATTTAATGCAAAGTAATGGTGAGTTTACAAAGCTATATAAGAAATTTCTGGACGTAATGTATCGATACTATATATCTTGATTTAACAGACTTATTTAATACAAGCTTATAATTACGAATACGATCTCGATTCTGCGTATTCGTAGTATCTTGGACGTCACACGGATAATTATTAGATTTACGAAGAAATGCATTGATTCCTTACTTCTGAAGAACTTCCATGTAGTCGATTGCTTCGAGAGGAAAAGTTACACCTTAAGCTGGTTAGATAATCAAACTCTCTTGTAGAGAGAAAGGTTCACGGAAGGTTACGATAGAAGATTGCATAAAACTTAATTGTTATACTGTTTAATTAGTCTATTGTTAAACAAAAATATTATTCCAAGAAACTATAAATCAATAGTAATTATTTATTGAAGCAAAAAGGATACATCGATTAAAATTGAAAACAATAAGTCAATTAAAACTGCTAATAAGAAATTACACAATATGAGCAACAGAATTACGGTCTTTATTCATAAAATTGAAAGGAAAAAACCAAGACAAACAAGTTTTAAGTTTATATCGCTAACAATCATAACAATAAGAATAAAGGAAGTGCAGAGTTCAAGTATAATTATAACGCTTATCGTAAATCTTTAGTAGATATGCTGCAAACGTAAACTTTTTTTTGATAATATCATCACGGCCATTAAAAAATATTCCATGCTATCTGGAAGTAGTGCGGTATTCGCTTATATCGTATTCATTGCATATTTTAACATTTCTTGCCTACCTTGAAATAATATCTTTAGAACATCAAAAGCGAACGGTAAACGGTTAACGCATGCTACACGAATTTTAATATCAATGCAAAAAATTGTATACCTAACTCGGAATTTTAATTTCGTTTTCTTCTACCCAACGTGAAAAAAAAAAAATAATCGAGGAAAATTGTTGTGTCTCGCAACGGTCACGGTCACTAGTCTGGAAATTATCCGGAACGTCTGTGTGTAATTGATGAAACTCGTATGTACCTTTGGAAAGATCCGGCTTTTATATCTTGCAGTAGAGAAGAGACGGGATTGTAATTACAATTGCATTATCACCTACAATCTAGATATAGAACAGAGATAAAATTGATGAAACTTTTTTATACAAATTAGTAAAAATCTTTCATTTGCATAACGTTATTTTTCTCATTAATACCAAGCATTTTTATATAATTTGATAAGTAAATATAATTTTCCATATTTGCTTGATGCAGCTTCCATTTCTTCAATTTACTGACGGAGGAATTCGAGTGAACTTTGGAGGATATCATGCTGCAGCTGGACTCGGCGGTCTTTTACGAGGTACGGGTGGTGGACTTTTTGCAAGTGCGGGAACTCCATGGGGTGCACATGCTGGCGCAGGATTAGGTGGCAAATTAGGTGCAGATGGTAATCTTGGTTAGTATCAAACGAAAATGAAAAAGATACGTACATTATACATATGTTAGTTCAAAATTTTGTCAAATAGAAATAATAAAAAAATGGCATTCTGCAACATTCCAATAAGAGTTCACAGTATTTTCATTAAAAATACATTAAACAAACATTAAATAAAGCCATACAAACGCGAGCAAAAATTACTTCAGGCGGTGGTCTTTATGCTCGAGCTGGAGCCGGCAATGGAGGACCAGAAGCAGCTGCTGGCCTTGGTGGAAAACTGGATGGCACTGGACGGTCAGTGAACCCGATTGCGGGTGGCTTATATGCAGGAGCAACACCAGGCGGCGGTCCAGGTCCGGGCGTGTTTCTAGGCGGTGGTTTTGATCAACCCGGATTCGATGGAATTATAAGTGGCAGTACAAATAACGAAGCTAATTTAAATCCACCTGCGGCTCCTGCGGGAACATCTTCCGCATCAGCGAGTGCGGATGCAACTACTAGTGAAAAGAAACCGACGAGAGGTCGCACGAATATACAAATCATACCTTCGAAGGCGCACAAAGAGAAAGAGGTTTCAATCGCGATTTCTTAACATATATTTTTACTCTGTAAATAATATGGAATACAGCATTCTGATTTTCTAGGTCTCAAATACGATACGTAAACGACAAGTTGAGACACGCGTGGAAGAAAATTGACAGTCTTCTAACGCATCTTCCGTAGAATAGTCGTAGTTTAGTAATACTAATAAGTCGTATATAAGCAATTTTAAGTTTATATTGGAATCTTGGGCTACATTTTTTAACCCGTCGATCATCTTTGCTTAAATATATTCATGATGAGATATCGTCTTTAAACTAAATCTATCGAACGCAGAAGGTGTTAGATGCTGCCGCGATGCTACGAGCTGATGCACCGATAAGTGAGAAAACCGAGTCGCAAAATAAGGAGGTAAAAAGCAGATTGCATATCGACCAAACATTTTGATTGTCGAATATTTGAAAACGGAAAGAACAGTTTAGCTAAATTATTAAAAAATTCAATTTATTTAGATACAGATCTAAGAATAATTTTGTTGGACCATTAAAATAATTATATAGAAAACAAGCATAATGGGTAATGCTGCAAAAAGTTTAAATATTTTAGCAATCAACTTAACCGTCTTATATATTATAACTATTTCGATAGTTTATCAAAATTATTTTTTAATCTGTGGTAAGTACTTCAGTAAAATAGTTCTTTCTGTGAAATCAATATAGAAATAATTATGTACGTACGCCCAAACTGATTTGAATATTCAAATTTTATGATAAGAAAAATCTTTTTTACAATAGACACGACGTGCTGTGCCAGTCGTGGCACCCGCGCCAGAAGTGGGCCTCGTCAAATCGGTTTATGTTGGAACAGCGCCAGCCGTGAAAACCGTCGTTCTGGCACCTGTAGCTGCACCTACACAAAGCACAGGCCAAGTTACTGCTACCGTCGATACAGTTACAACAGTCGGTGAGTAATTATTACTACGCTTCTTTGCACTCGTTTGAATGTCATTCCGCGAGGAATCCTTTCTCTTTCAGTCAATCCGAATGTAGTCGTTGCGAAGCCCGCGTATCCACGCTGGTATCTTAGAAAAAGATTCTGGACCCGTCCTAGGAAAACAGTTTACGTTGCTCCAACAGCAACGGTTGATACTCAAAATTCTCCTTCGGATATAGTCGGTGGACTTTTCGTCAATTCAGTGGGAGATGGCGGCGCGGTTGCTGCAAGCAAAACATCTTATGTCAGCGAATCTTTTATCGATAGTATTTTTAACGTAAGTCGTTTCTTCTATATTTATATCTTATGAGCATCGTGATCTATATAAAAAAATTAAGTGCTTTTAATAAATCAAATCTCATGTTCAGATCCCGATTTCTACATTGTCTGCTGTTAATAACGCTGTTAATCAACTGCTGGGAAATAACGTCGTTAAGACCGTTGCCGTAGCTAAGACTTCACCGTAGAGAGTATATTATTAAACACACTTAAATTCCTATTATAATTGACGATTACATAACATTGTAACTGTCATCGTATTGCACTCGAAGACTAGAATCCTTGAGGTATATTTAGCAATTTCCATTTTTCACCTATTCAGCCTCTTTTGACAAGAAATGTTTGTTCTACCTACTTACGAATGCTATACACATACTATGCCCATCTCCTGGTTCTCTGTACGTGATTAGATTACGCATCAATCCAGCCATCCTGTATATACTACAATATTTCTTTGCCTGCGAATTATTTAAAAAAGAAAATACATGTACTAATAAAGTTTTATACACAAAAATTATTATTTCTGATTCATTATTTTATTTTATTGTTTTACAGTTTCCATTATTCATTCGGAATATACATATACTATTTAGAATACTTATATATCTCTCTTACTCCTTTATTTAATATGTAGATAGTGTACAAAACATTACGATACACGCTCCAAGAATATTTCAATGCACTGCCAAGAAAGGAAAAAGTATTTCTGATTATATATATATTGTTTAGTGTTTGTATATTGTTCTATATAAATATTATCATTTTAAAACGCTCGAGTGCAATAAGCGTATTATTTTATTTGTTATAAAAGGATAATAAAAATTTTTTTTATTGAATTAAAGATTCCTAATGATTAAAACAAAATCATAATAATTAATTAAGTAAAATATTAATGGCTATATAGAGTCAAACGCTGTTTTTGGTGCGCAAATTATGTACAAATATATCTTTGATACAAAAATTCGAACGTTTCGGTCCTATTATTTCGATCAGCGACAATATAAAATATGCAATAATGCTACCTAGTATTGGAAAAAACGATGTTGAGACGCAGTAACATTAATATATGTTATATATTAATAGCCCCTTTTTATTTGATTTGTTTTATACTTATAGAGCCTTATATTAATTGCCTTAATTATATTAATTAGTATTAATATATGTTATCTTCTCATGCACCAACAGAGGTAAAATACTTGGTGGTGTGAAAGTGTGACACGAATATTTTAGAAAACCTGGATATATTATATGTCTGTGAAATTGCAACACAATAGAATCCGATCTATACTTTAAGAAAAATCAAAAAATTTTTTATTATTATTATTAAACGAGCTTACCTCTGCTGGTCGACAAAGATACAATTCCGTAATTATAATTAGTAATTTTAAGAAAATATTTAATAGAAAATTTCGTCGTTATGGTGTTAGTAACAGTCACGTAACGATGTAATGAAGAAAGCTAATATTATATATTTATATAATATATGTGATACAATAAAATAAGATTTAGGTCAAATTATTATTTATCAGTTTGTCTATAATATTCACGTATGACTGATCAAAGACCTTCGGTGTCTGTTTGTAAATTGAATCCGTTTCTTTGTGTTTTTATACAAAGTATTTCTGAGATTAAGCGTTTATAATAAAAATTCTCGCAATAATGATATTTTCGCAATGTGGATATTCTTGATTGCGAGAATTTTTACAAAAAAAATAACTAGACGAAAGATAAAAGAAAATATGGAAAAATTAGATAGTAAACAAAGAAAGATGGAAATAAATCAATAAGCAAAGAAGAACATATTAAAAATTGTAAAAACTTACTTATGTAAATAATATAGATACATAAGTAATATTTAAATATATATTTAATAAATAATAAATATGTAAGTAATACAAGAATGAATAGAAGAACAACAAAAATAACGAAAGAAGATGATGTTCTGCAATAAAAAGATAATAACAAAAAAAACAAGTAAAAAGATTAATTCTATAACTAAATAAAATAAAGAACAAAGCGAGGAAGATGAGGAATTTGGTAATAAAAATAAATTTAGTAATAAAGAAACAAGCAATAAAATAAAAAATATAGAATAATAATCTATTACCGAAAGAGAAAATAAACATGAAACTGGAAAGATCTCGTTAGCAAATATTTCGATAGAACAGCAAAGTAAAAATACAGTCTTGTGCAAAAGTATTAGGCACTCTTTTATATATTATAGTACATCCGACATGCGTTCTTAGAATTTATTCTTTTGTCAGTGATTCATCGGATGTTCACTCTAAAATGTAAACACAGATATGGTTTCAATAAAGTAATAACTGATAGAAGGCATCAATTGAGCATATTTGTATTTTTTGAAGTATATTATTCTATTGTCGGTGTTCTTTAGTGAAAATATATGCGTCAGTTTTATATTCTACTGCTCATATTTATGAAAGTTGAATTCTTTTCTGTAAATAATGCTTATAAAAATACACAATAGCGCTTGCTGATTCAACTTTTACATGAATAGAGCAAATCTCAGTTTGAAATAACCCAAAGAGTTAAATGTTCGCGTGAACTAAAGCTAAGCATGGACCTACTAAATACTGATAAAAGTAATAAATATTGACTAATTAAAAGTATGTATAGTTTTATTTTTATCTGCCTTTACAATTTAAAGAAACTTGGTAGTTATAAGGTACCTAATATTTTTGCATAAAACTGTATAATAGTTTTGCAAGAAGGAAATTAGTAACGGAAAACGTTACTAATAAAAATTAAAGTAAAGAAACAATGACTAATAAAATAGCACTGGATAAGTCTGTAGAAGTACAATAGAATGACAAAATGTTCTTTTAAACGTTAAGTAATGAAGAAGATAAAGTAGAAGACATTAAAAAAAAAAGTAATACTAAAAGCTTATTAATTCATCAGAAACCAATGAAGATGAACATCACAAAAAACGAAAATATCGATAAAGGTTTAAATAATATGAATGTCGATATATTAAATGATGACAAAAAGAATTTAACGATATATAAATAAGAATGGCAGATAAATTACGTTTCCTTAATCCAACTATTATTAAGATATATTAGGAAATTATTTTTTTTGTTTAAAATAATTGAGCTTGTCCTTGGTATAATACCATTTTTGTAGTATTATTATAATAATTAGCTATAATTATATTGTAACATTATCTTTTTTCAAGTGGTTACACGTGGTTTTGCGATGGATACTACGTAAGTTATTTTTACACAGTAGCGATTATATTAAATATGACTCCAAAGTTTATAGTCGATGTAACAAGTTCTGAAGATTCTGATATTTTAAAGTATTTTTTTAATAATATGTTACAACGTTCTAATGTCTAAAACTAAATATATTCTGATTTTCTATTCCTATTTATTATTTTAACTTCTATAAAATTATGTATAAAGAACTCTTGTTAATAAATAAATTTAAAAATGAAAAAAGTGCATAAGAGTCAAAAATTAAAACTAATCTTATATGTCAAATTAAAAAAAAAATTTTTATTACGAAGATAAAATAGAAGATTGATGTTCTTAACAATATAATATGATATTGACATTAGAATTACATGTTTCGACTTCTATATTGAGCCATCTTCAGATCTTCAACATCAAAAATATAAAAATAAAATAGATACGCAGTGGATGTTCCAGTTAAGAATATTATATATACGAATTTTCTCTGTTTGAACCAATGATAATGAAGGATTGCATTCAGTCGACCAACTACATTAAAACAGTTGATTTGTCGAAGTTTTATTCATCGGAGAATTCTTAACTGGAACATCCACTGCGTATCTATTTTAGTTTTATATTTTTGATGTTGAAGATCTGAAGATGGCTCATTATAGAAGCCGAAACATGTAATTCTAATGTCAATATCATATTATATTGTTAAGAACATCAATCTTCTATTTTATCTTCGTAATAAAAATTTTTTTTTAATTTGACATATAAGATTAGTTTTAATTTTTGACTCTTATGCCCTTTTTTCATTTTTAAATTTAATTATAACTTCTCAAATAATCGAAACGATAAAGTTTATATATTATATATGTATATGACTGTATAATTCGTAAAAAAATTTTTATCCACAAATTTACATGAATGTACAGGATGGGCCATTTTAATGTCTCACTTCAAACATCTTTTCTTGTACCTTAAAATGTTTTAAATAGAAGTTTTAGAATTTTAAGGGGCACATTACATAGCAGTATTATTGTGATCTTGAGTGGCATCCCAAGGTGAGATCAAAGTCACATCGATATTTTTTAATGGAACCTTCATTTTTTATTGCATATTCTTATAGCTTATCTTGAGAGCTCTTTAAAATATGATAAGAAAATATTTTTTCATTACATACTTTTTGAGTTATAAAGCTTATATATTACAGTATCGCCGACGTTAGCATTCTCAAGGTGTCCAATCGATGGCTAAAGCCTTTCGAATGTTCAGAATCATGCTTTGACTAACATTCGTTAAGATCAAAGTTATTAGAAGTTGCTCTTATTTTCATTTTTGCATTAAAAATTTATTTCTACTATAATGTAAAATATAATGAGTTTTCATTTTCAAAAATCGATATAATCTTGACCTGACCTTGGCGACGCCATCCAAAGTCAAACTGGTAGATAGTCCTTTTTAAACAATTTTTATCTATAACAATTTTCTATAAAACTTATAATTTCCAAGTTATTTAGGAGTACTGACTTTTTCCCCCATCAGGTATATGTATATGCAAGGGTTTTGTAATTATTCGGTTTAGCCCACCTCAGCTTTAATTCAAGGAACTTTTCCTCCGCAATCGTAAAATACATGTGCGTGCGAAGGATTCCTCTAAATCCATGCCTAATTTTTTCTTAAATTAAATCTCACTTTGCGTGCAAAGTTAAAAACCTATATGGATCTGAGCTTCGAGCGAAAAATAAGTAGTTGTAAACTCATGAATAATTCCATATTAGTTTACAATGTTCCATTATAGCAAGAACAGAGAAAGGTTTTTTTAATGTACAATGAAGAGTAAAAATAAATATTTCCTTCTGTGTAACTAGATGTAGACAGTAATGGGTAAGATATACTTTTAAAATGTATTTAATACATACACATATTTCAATAAATCAGAGTGAATTAAAATGAATTAAAATTTTATTTATTCAAATGCATATTTTAAGTAATATGAATTTTGAGTAACATGGGTAACATTAAATATTTTTTATTCAATTGTATTAAATTGGATTTGATTGGATTGAAAAATTACATTTCATTTAGAATTTTGAATTGAGAAGTATTCATGAGACATAGAAAAGCTGATATTATTTTTAGATTAAAATTCGCTTGGAAAAATTTATTTTAAATGAAGTTAAGGTTTTTTAAAAATCACTAACAGTTTATTAAAAAAAATTTTGAGATAATTTAAAGTATGTAAAAGGTTAATCTAAAATAAATCTACTCTCTAAAAGTGACTTTAATGCGATATTTATAAACAA